TCTCATAAAGGTCAACAAGTAACAGTTCACTCAGACAGACTTTCCTATTTTCATGGAAATCCCTGGCTAGGGGAATGAACCTACTTGCTACTTGCAAAGATCTACTACAAAACACATATCGTGATAGCCACAGGGTGAGGAAAGCGATATGTTCTACATCTGAGACCTCATCCCCTTCAGTGTGATAATGGCTGATAAATTTTGAGAAGCTAGCCAGTTTGACATCGAAGTCAATAATGTTGGAATGTTCTTCGTTGTCAGGAATGTAAATTTCCCCCACTGGTGAGAGACCAGTGATGGCAGCTATATCAAATAATGTGGGTGTTATCATTCCGCCTGGAAGATGGAAAGTGTTGTAAGTACTGTCCCAGAAGTACAATGAAGCGAATAGCAATGGGTGACTGTAGGTAAAGCCTGGTTTCGACAGTTTGATTAAGTTATAAATCCCTAATTTTTCCCATTGTTGAGACTTTTTGGATTCCACCTTGGTGAACCAGTTTTGGTATGCTATGTCTGAAGTGGGGCAGGATCGAAAGGGTTTGAAATTACTTTTGATATAATCTAAGATAAAAGGGTCTTTTGGAGGTAAGGTCGGAGTTTCAATTGTTTTCGAATCAGATGATTCGCTTAGGTCTTCAGTTCCTGCCCTAGGGGCATCCATTTTGTTGAATAGGGGTTTGAATTTATAGCAAACAGGGAAAATTTTCCTAGTATCTTTCAGAATTTCAAAAACTGTTAAAGGACCCATTAGGGCAAACCTTTTTCCAGCAACAGTGGTAGGGATTAAAACCTGAGAGGCGTACAGCATTTATTTCTCCTTGGAGATCATTTGAGGATTGAGTACAGATTGATTCTGATAAATACTCACTTTGCTCTCCATAATGGTTTCCGTGTTGGTTTTCTTGTTCTTCTTCTTTGATAATTTCTTCAATTGTGATGATGTTGATGAAGACATTGTTAAGATTGCTAGAAGTTTTAGGGTTTAGCAAAAAGGAGGGGGATTTCAGAAATTTTGGAGAAAAAGAAGAAAAGACTAAACTGATAGGTTTTATAGAGTGAGTGTAAGCACCCACTAAAAGGACTAGGAGTACGTGGAAGTTGTTGATTGGATTCAGAGGGAGGTGGCGTAAGATCCAGTGTTGATAATAAGTGTGATTAATAATAATCATTATTTTTAAACCGCACCATACTGTGGTAACTGGTCCAAGACGGTTGAGTACTCAAAAAGGCGTCTTGATTGACGTGGGTAAAATCATGTGCAGTAAGTGTCATGATTCTTCAAAAGGGTTATCAAAATCTTGTGAATCTATTTAAAATAAGTACGCCTCAAAGGGTTCGAAATACATATTTTAAAGGGGCATTTTGTTGGCTGAAGATTTTGATACTGTGATTCGAAATGAAATCACTATGGTTGAGCTTTGTTTGAATAGAGCAAATTTGATGATTTGGAATGGAAGAGAATGTTTGTTTCGAATGGAAATATTAGAGTTCAAGGTTTCGAATGATAAGTTGTGGAGTATGAGTCTAAGGCCTTGTTCGAAATAATCATAAGAGTATATTTGTGAAGGTCATTTTTGGAAATAACCTATGAACAAACTCGAAACGAAAAAGTTCCAAAACATTTGAAATTCAAACGTGAGCGGGATATTGGAAATTCAAATACACAAGCATAAGAGTGTTCGAAGACGCGTGGAGGCTAGAGGAAAGCAATGTTTTGCATGCTTCGAACGTGGCAGATTCTGATAGCAAGACTGTTATGGTCGAATAGTATAAATAGAAGTCTTATTGTTAGGATTTTGTGTGTCATATCTGTTGTACAAATTCAATAAACATTCAAAATACCGCATGGATAGGGAAACGAATGCTCGAAAGATGTACGTATGATAACACCAGCATTTACAATTCAATGAAAACTCTTTACATTTTCCAATTTTATCTTTTACTTCCGTTTCATTTGTGTTTCAAGCAATTTTATGTTTATGCCTTTACATTAAAGCCTTTATATTCGAAGTCATTTATTCCTTTCTGCATTTAAATACTTTTCTTATGGTCAAGACCTCTAAACATTTAGTAACTTTTACATCCACCCATTTAATCCTACCATTTATCCAATTTCAAGTCTTTAAACTTTTCTCATGAATATTCCTAATACCATATAGAAGTTATCCTTCGAACCATTCAGTATAGTAATCGAAGCGGATTGGATATCTTTGGAACAACTCTAATTCGAAATCCTAAATACAAATATCAGTTTTACAATTAGACTTAGCCAAACAACTATGTTCCATAGGATCAATCTAGTCGATCCTGTAAGTTACCAGAGAGATTGAATAACAGTAATTAAGTTTATTTGATAGTTTGGAAGACTAGCGGTTGTTCACCAGAAATCACTGTGAACACCTGCGTATTGCTCTTTCTTTCTCTCTATCTCTTTACATTTTCCATAATTTTGTGATTCAATTGGCTTGCTGAGTTTTCTGTTTAATGATAAAATAGTGGTTCAAATACTTTGATCAAATTACCATTATTAAATTATCAAATAAGCATATGCCAAGTGTTTGACAAAATTCCTAACAAGTTTTAATTCATTGGAAACACTGCTTTAGTGATAAGTGCATTAAAAATGTTAAGTAATTTGTGTTGTATATTCATCTATTTCATATAATAAAATCCAACAAGTTTTTCACATGTTCGGTTTTCTAGTAGTCGGTTCAAAATAGACGGAAGTTGATTCAGGACATTAATTTCCCGCTGCTTTCAATAAACTTTGATAAAAGATTTTAAATCCTTGAAAAATTAGAAGGTGATCTATTCAACCCCCCCCCCCCCCCCCCTCGATCACTTGCCACACCGTCTAACATCGCACACTATAACAGACTTTGTTGTTTCTATTGAAATATTGCAGGAATGATACCCCTGTTGCTGAGAAGAGTTTAGAACAAAGTTGGACTCGCGTTGTTTCGGATCCCATGACCATGCGCTGCAATGCCCTTGTAAGTAAAAAACTGATCTATATCTATACCTTTCAATTGGGAATATTGGTAACAAAACTATAGAAACTCAATTTTATTCATCCATCTATATTTGTTCATTAACAGCAAATACCCAGAGACATAATCAAAAATTGTTTCCGTGGAGGAGACAGACATATCAAGTTGTTAAATTGCGACAAAAGAGTCCCGTACTATTGCCTTCTGAAAAAGCGGAGAGGGAGTGTGGAAAGATACATCTTAGGTGACTGATATGAATATGGCAAGGAAGCCAATCTGAAGGTTGGTGATACATTACACTTCGGCATCCGCTACCCACTAGTGGATGAGATATTTGTATCGGTGGAGCGAGGAAATGCAACTGAGGGTTGGTGGTCGTGGTAGGATAATGTTAAGGTTTTATATTTAAATAGAAAGGACATATGTTTATGTCAAGACTTATGATCTTTTGTTTTCTTATGAATGTCTTTAGCAACAAAACAATGATTTTAAGTTGCCCCACCAATGTTATTAGGTGAACAACTTATTTTGTGTAACATGAAACTTATGAATGTTTAATATTACTGTCTTATTAGATAATTAAGTATGTTTGTTTCATATACTATTGTTATTATCATTATGTGACAATTTGATTATAACGTCGTACAAGGGACAATTATAATTGTTGAACAATTGTGGAATACAATTGAAGCTATTCTCCCTTAATTCATGACCTCTTCTTCAAATTTATGTCGGTGTCACTGTGATATTTTATAATTACCCATGTTTGGTGGGTGTAACTGTTGATAGTGTAAGATTAAAATTTTGATAGCGCCATGAGCATGTGTTGGTTGCATTTGGGAAAATAAATATACAACAAGATCACAACAATATTTTTACAACAACCTCTGCTTTCATTTTATTGCATTGTTGTACAACTGCGATAAAGTGTGGTAATACAATGTAAATAGTTCTAGGATAATTCCAATTGAAGTAACATGTGTTGCTGTGTGTTATCACATTATGCTATATTTTAGTATCTAAAAAACAATTCTAACTGAGGTAGCATGTATTGTTGCAAACTTACGGTTAAAATATAAGGCTTATGGCAGTTAAAAATTATATGTTGTTGTTACTATTTCAATTTAACATTATTTCTTTAATTCAAACTATTCTGTTTTATTGATTTATACTCATTGCACAAACTAATAATGCAAAATATAATTTTTACAAATTTAATTGTTCTTTTATTTATATTATTTTTTTATCATGCATAATATCATAGCATTTAATAATTTTTTCTTTCTATATAAAATCCGCTTACCTCAATGAGCATAGTTAAGAAAGTTTTTTTTTTTTTCCTGCTTGTCCTTCCATTATTTGATAAAAAGTAAAGAAAACATAAGCATTAAGTTTTAGAAACTAATGTAAAGATTCCGAACAGAGTCAAATAACCATGTACCTTCCAAGCGAATTTGAAGCTGATGGAAATAGCGAAGACATGAGGAATAAGATTAAGGACTGTTGTTAATTTTGTTGAGGAATTTCATCAAACAGTTTCTATGCAATCCTGCTAAACCACCTCTTTCACCTCTATTGATGTCATAGTTATCATCCATAGTAATCAATGATGAATTTATAGAACTTATTTAATATTTATATATGAGCATGTACATGTTCATTAAAAAACAAGGAGCAAGCATCCATTCAAGAGAGACAGAGGTTCAAAGAACCCTGATGAACAAGTTGCCATATGCATAGACCAACATCAAGAGAAAGTACATAGTAGCTGATAAACTGGCCATTGCTTATCCAATAGTTAATCATGCATGGTAAAGGATATAAAAATATTAAACACAAAAAGGTCACTTGCTTTATTGACATGATAGTGAACTTGGTAGATTCACTATATACAACTATATTTTAAACAAGATTACAACATTACTTTGACTTAGAAAAAAGCTATCATCAATTCTAATACCATATTTACTATAGCCAATGTTTACATGATAATAGTTGTAGCTTCTAATTTCACAGTAGCCCAAAGAAACATACAACAAACCCAGAGAAGCCTAAAGGCCAAAAGACCACTGGCCAACTTGAATCAGATGCATCTTTTTTGACAGTTGAATTTGAAGCATCAGTTTTGGCATTTGAATCTGATTTATCATTTTGGACACCATATATTTGTTGAATCTTCTGCAAATCATCATCATTCACCAATTCAATCTTCTGTATCGGCAACACAATGGGATACATAATAGCCTCTTCCACAGAAGAATGTTCCAACCCTAATAAATGACCAATTTGATGCATCACAACTGATTCAAAATCAACTTCATCCTGTTTAATATCACTCTTACTCGACCATTGTTCGTTTATATCAAAATACATAATCCCAACATTTTTAGCTTTGTTTAGATAAGTGCCTCCAACCATTTTACCCTTTCCGTCTAAGTCTAAAACTAGTATTTTGATATTCGAATTTTTAAACGACATCGTCTCTGTAAAGTTCAACCCAGTTACTTTTGACCAACGGTTAAACGCGTTTTGAAACAAAGACTTAATGTTGTTTGGGACGTTATCTTTGGGGTAAGCATATGTTAATTGGTTCCCCGTCCACCATGGTTTAAAGGACTTGGCGTTGAGATTGTCAGGAACACCACAACGTGGCTTTGTAAGTGTATCAGTTGTATTTCTATCAAGCATACCTGTATTTTTGAGATTAAAAAATTTCTGAAATTTGATTATTGAAGATTCGTCCACCAGATCTGAAGGCGAAGTGGAAGAGTTTAAGAATCCGTATTTTTCTAAGTAGTCCATCGCCTCCAACATTTCCTCGGCTTTTTCTTTAGTCTTTTGTCCAATTTCTCCATATTTCTTGCTCAATTCTTCATCTGGAAGATTGCGTAAATAACGGGGAGGGATATTGATTTTGGTCTTTGATTCAATGAGTTTTGTCAATCCATCGAACAAGCCGCCGGAGACATCTGCAAATAGAAAAGATAGTATGAAGAGGAATGTAAAGGTGTTTAGTGCTCTGAATTTCATATTGTGTTTTGGTTCGGGTTTGAGAAAATGTGAGTTAAGCTTTTGGTTTTTATTGTAGAATTTTGTCACGGGATTTGGAAATTATTCATATACCATGGACATTGCAGGTTTGGATATCGGGGCTGTATCTTCTCCACTTGGATAGGATAGGACAAGAATCAACTAACATTAAAATATCTTATTTTTCTTATTCAAATAGACCCCTGAGTAGAACACCGGACACTCAAATGAATGCATTATAGTACTACTGTCTAAACCAAGACAGCTGCTAGGAAATTTCTACCGACCCTATTCTTTGTAAGCCATCTTTGACTTTGATTTAAAATAGGAAACCAAATTGACAACTTGCCTATTCTAAGCTTTTGATTGGGAGTTTGGACAAGATGGCAAGGGAGAGATGACTCAAAATAATTTGTAAAAGATACTGACAAATCTTAAATATTTTTTGAGAAATTGTTTTTTTTTAAGAATGATAATGGTGTTTATCATTAACATATTAGTAAGATATTAGTGCATTCGCACGGATTAATTTATTTGATATGGTATAAAATATAGTTAGATGCACTCGTAAATTTAAAATGATTTGGAAATTTAAAATGAGATATTTAATTGTAAAATGAATAATAATCATATTATTTATTCTGAAATTTGATAAACAACGCCAGTATCTTGTTAAAGGTTATTTTGCGAGATCGACTAGGAAATCTCAGAATAATGTGCATGCAGTTTTTCAAATAAAGTAAAAATACTAAGAGTTTAAATGATTCGACAGTAGTAAATATCACGTTTTGAGAATGAAGGTAAGTGAACGTAAAATTCTGACTAAAAATGTAAATGGTTCGACCATGAAACGTAAAGAAATGTAAAGTGAAACTAAAAATAAAGTTTTGCATGAATAAAAATTTGGTGATCAAATGTACATTGCACTCTTAAGACTAATTTCACTCTACATTAGATACTCTGATTTTGTGTGAGTTTGGAAGTAAATTTGAACACCTCTAATTCTAATACAGAAACTACTACTTATAATGAAATACAAATAACTGCTTCAAGACGAGTTTTTCCCTACTGAGCGTCACATTTATGTTGCATGTCTTATTATTTTGTAAACTGCTTCTACACGTCTTCATACAGAGGATAAGATTAAGAAGTGGTTATTATACCATGTTCGTTCGCTTAAACCGCTAATACAACTTAATACTATGCAATATGCATGTGATATCAATTGTTATCCTTACCGGTCCTGGAGGGTTCATCTCTCAGACAAATAACCACCAAAAAGCTCGTCCTCTAAGCTATAAAGCAGTCCTCTAGGTTTGGGACAAGTTAATAGTTCCCACAGAACTACCAAACATTGACTCTTGGCAACAAATGATGCATGTGCAATGTAACAATCTGAATTTAATTAATTAGTTAATTAAATTAAATGAGGATTAATTATTTAATTTAGATGAAGTTTGGTAATTAATCAGATCGTCGGTATCATTTGAGAAGTGCTATCGGATTATCAAGTAGAGTTGAATTTTATTCGGTTAACCAGAGATTTAATGCGAGTCAGTTACCAGAACAATAATATTAGAAATAATATTATTATTGGAATTTGATCGTTTGAGATAAAGTCGGATTTAATCGGTTTGACCGGGAAATAGGATTCAATATAATAATATTTGTCTTGATAAATTATATTTACTTAATCGGTAGTATACTACTCGGTCCGATATGTGATTTTCAATAGTTTTAATTAATCTTATCTATATTATTATTATTTTCTAAAAATAACCGGTTGATATTTATTTTGGTCAATCGATATTTATTTAGTCGGTTATTCGGTCCGATAATTGATTATTTTAGTTTATTCGATTTATCGAAAAATGATTATTTTTATATGATAATATTGTATTTTGGTGTGTATTAATTAATTAATTGGTGATAATTGAATTATATTAGTATTTATTTAATTATATTAAGTTAGTTTAATTAAATAAGATAAATTAATTTTATTAAATAAAATATATTATATATATGATATGCTATGTTTCAATAATATATATATATATATATATATATATATATATATATATATATATATATATATATATATATATATATATATATATATATATATATATATATATATATATATATATATATAAAACTTAGTTTGTTAGTTTTTATAATACATATATAACTTAGTTTTATATTATATATATAAGTTAGTATATAGATATTATGTTAAGTTAGAATATCAGAAGAATAGAAACAGAAGAAAAGGGAAGTGGCAGGAGGAGAAGAGAAGTGGAAACTTAAAGTTTGGAAGAAGGGAAAAAGTTGTCGGAATTAATCGAAAAACTCGTTCCGGAGACTAATCGGTAAGGGTTAGACTTCCTCTAAACATCTAGTATGTTTTTATTGCATTTAATTTCGTTTTTTTTTTCCGGTTTAGGAGGTAAAATTAGTTATCCAGAAATTAATGAAATTTGACAGGGTAACTAAGTTAAATGCGTAGGTAATTATGGTTGAGTTATTTTTTTGAGATTGCGACGTTTTCGGAGACCGATCGGGATTGTGTTATTTCGAATTAGCCGGTTTAGACGGTAAAATTAGTTATCCGAAAATTAATGAAATTTGACAGGATAACTAAGTTAAACGCGTAGGTAATTATGGTGTAGTTATTTTTTTAAAACCGGAAAATAATAAAAGAGAAATGGAGAATGTTATTATAGTATTTATTTAATTATATTAAATTAGTTTAATAAAATATTAATTTCATTATATATATATATATATATATATATATATATATATATATATATATATATATATATATATATATATATATATATATATATATATATATATATATATATATATATATATATATATATATATATATATATATATATATATATATATATATATATATATATATATATATATATTTCTAACTAACCTACTGTTAGTTTTATATTATATATATAAGTAAAATAGTTTAGTTAATATATTAATATATATTATAATTAACAGTGTGATTAGTTATATAATCGGTTACGGTTTATCGATAAAACTTGATATTTTGGATTCGACCGGAGATGAATTAAATTGTAGACGTGTGGTATATTGGAAATGTGTTGTGAAATACCGATTTCGGAAATAACATGTTCAGTTTATAAATGTTATGTTGTTGTGTGATTAATTGATATAACCGGTTGCGATTAATGGGTAAAACTTAATATTTTGAGTTCGACCGGAGATTAATTAAATTGTAGGTGTGTTGTATTTTCGAGATATTTGGTTAATTTCCGATTCCGGAAATGACGTGTTTGATTTATAAATATTTTGGTGTTGTGTGATAATTGTTGAAATGAAATAAATGATGTTTGTTGTGCAATGTTGTGAGATTAATTCATAGGGTTGAATTATGGTGATGTATGCTTGTAATTGAGATGAGGGATGTCTTGATTTGCATAATTGTTGTTGTTGAATTGCACACCGCATCATAAGTCGTGTCAAGAGGCGATGTCCGTTAGTCTCGTGGAGGCTAGTGGCTCGTCCCAAACTTAGAGTGGGGGTTTGAAAGCTTAGGGAATGGGCTTTGTGATTATCCGTCTGAGGGATAGACAATCGGTAAATCCGAAGGATAATAGATGATTGGTACCACATGCATGAGTCGTGTCGTTGTGTCGAGTCGCACATACACACTTTGTTAAGTTGATGTTTTGTTGAATATTATGCATTATGTGCTAATTTGTAAATGAAATTGATTGTGTTTGATTTCTTTGAGTTGTTGAATATGGGAATTGAATTAAATGAATATATTATGTGGTTTATGCAAGAGTTAGAAAAAGAGTAAAATTCCTTTATTTAATGCCTTTCATTTGCTTTAAATTATATACCTTATGTTTGTTGGAATTCTTACCCTTCTGTTGGAAAATGCTTGCTACGACATTGTTCAGGTACCGAAGATGGTAGTGCGAGGCACTAGCTTAGCGGATGCATTTGGATTGTAATCCATTTTATTTTGGTTTATCGAGTTAATGCTCTGGTTGTAACACTTGGGAGTTAGGTGTCCGGATTCGAACTCGTATATTTTGTATATGGATTATACTTGTATATAATCCATTATTTTGATTATATGTTGATGTGTGTATATTATGACTTGATAACATGTTTGGTGTATGAACCGTATGGCTTAATGCCTTGAATTTTATATTTTGATTCCTCCTTTGGAGATGAAGTTATTATGATTCTGTTGCGTTTGCACGAAAAAGAAAGTATATGCCATGAATGTATTATGTGATTAAATGATTAAAGTGACGAATATGTCATGTCCGTTTTTCTTGAATATGTGAATTGATGTTGTGACACTCCTTCCGTGCAAATTTTATTTTCTCTGATTTTATTTATATCGTTAATTCGGGGTTTATTAGAAGGGGTGTTACATGCAATCTCAAAAATTATATGCAATTAAGACCATCTCTCAATCTTAATTATACAAGCATACATCACATAATTCAACACATTTGAATTATCTCATCATTGCACAAACATACACATCACAGGTTATCAATCAGATATAGTGTATTATCATACATTTATCACATTAAAACATGTATCAAACATATCCAAGTCATGTTATTCTCATTCATCATCAATTCACAACATTCACATACTTAAAATCAAGTATTATGTTTCTCATCAAAAGCCATCCAAAACCTATCTAATACACATCAAATAAATTATTAAAATTCATGTAAATCAATGATAAATAATAAGCATAAACCCCCCCATCCAATTAATGAAAATTTAAAAGTTTTCATCCCAGGCCGCCATAGCGATCCCCACGGCACTAAGCGCCCTCTAGTGAACACAGAAAAATTCCGCGACAACAACTTTTCCCCCCTACGAATTTCATCCCCAAAATCCATTCAAACAATCATATTTCATAATTTAAATGTATTATAATTTATATCTAACATATAGCATCCATTATAAATATTAAAACATGATTTCTAACACAAAATTTATGAATCTCAATTCCAAACCCCAACATTTCAAAACTAGTATTTGAAGAACAAATCCCTAATTTCATGTTACTACCTATCACATACCATCACATACACCCATAAATCAAAGAATAACCACACTTAACTTAGATGTAGAGAATTTCTA